ACCTCCTCTGGCATTAGGCATGCACATTGTACAGGTGCAGGCAAAACACACACATAAAATAAAAGTAAATGAATCTTTTTTAAAAAAACACAGTTCTCATTTCCAGTTCTAGAATGGAGTAAAAAGTCATTTAACAAAAGATTGACTGGGTGTTGTAACACATACCTGTAACCCTAGTGTTGGAGAGGCTGAAGCAGGAAGATGTCAAAAGTTGAAGGCTAGCCTTGGCTTCACAGTAAAACCTTGCCTCAAAAAAAAAAAAAAAAAAAAAAAAAAGTAAAGGACTACCCTTCTTGTCACAAAAAACCTTTTCCAAAAAAAAAAAAAAAAAAAAAAAATGCTAGCATAATGATACAAACCTATAATCCCAGCACTTAGGAGGCTTTGGCAAGAGGATCTGTAGTTGGAGACCAGCTTGGGCTACCCCGTAAGACCCTGTCTTGAAAAAATCAAGGACTGGGGAAATAGTAGTAAGTTGCCTAAGTGCCAGACACAGATGGAAGGACAATAACTAGGGTTAAGTGTCTACTTAGAATTTTCAGAACAACTGTATTAAGGAAAAGGAAGTAACTAATACCTGTAGGTGTTTTATTAGTTACTGTTGTTATTCATGCTTTTGACTCATACTGTAATACCTTATAGTTCTTATGCCATCTCTTATGTCCCTTATCTTCATTCTACTATGTTCATTAGGTGTTGAAACTTATACTTCCAGTTACGTATACCTCCCTTTAGCATTCTGCTTTTATGCAGACAGTCTCTATCCTAGACTTTGATTGTCCCCTACAAGGCTGTGTTAACACATCTGATTTCCATTGTTATGTTGGCAAAGAGAAAACCGACTTATTTTATGTGTATGAGTGAGTGTTTTGCTTGCATGTTTGTAAGTGTACCCATGTGTACAGTGCCTATGGAGGCCAGAAGAGGGTGACATCACCTAGAGCTGGAGTTAGAGATTATTGTTAGCTGCCATGTGGGTACTGGGAACTGAACCCAGGTCCTTTGCAGGAGCAGTCAGTGCTCTTAACCGTTGAACCATCTCTCTGGCCTAAACTTTACTTTTCAGTTTTCCTATGTAGGTTCTTACTTTCATTGAATTGACTTCTGAATATTACATAATTTCTGCCAGCTCATAATGTATTTTAAAAAAAAATTTAAACTTGATTTGGCATATTTGTTTTTTCTGCCACATTTTGGAAATGGATGTCCTAGAACCATTTCCCCCCCTACTTATCATACATAGACAAGTTAATGTTCTTTTGTTTTAATTTTAGTAGGTATTTCTTGTCTTGTAGGGTGTGTGTTTGTCATTTTAAAAATCTTGATAGGGGTGCACACCTTTAAACCCAGCAGAGGCAGAGGCAGGCGTATCTCTGTGAGTTCAAGGCCGGCCTGGTCTACATAGTGAGTTCCAGGACAGCTGGGCCTACAGGGAGACCCTGTCTCAAAAAAGACAAACAAAAACAAAAACAAAAAAAACACAACTTGATAGGACTGGAGAGATGGCTCAGTGGTTAAGAGCACATACTGCTCTTCCAGAGGACATGAGTTCAGTTCCCAGCAGTCATGTCAGGTGACTCACAACTGCCTGTAACTCCAGCTTATGTAGGGTGTCTGATGTCTCTCTTGCATTCACATGCACACACCCCCACAGAGACACACATGTAATTTTAAGTAAATAAAATCTTAAAATAAATAAATAAATAAATAACTTGATATACTTAGAATCTGTGCTGGAAATTGAATTGTACTGTACCACTGCCTCCTGAGTGATGGGATTAAAGGCATGTGCCATCACACCCGACCCAGAGAATTCATCACTTTTTTTTTTTTTTTAATGTGTATGCATGTATTGCCTGCATGTAGGTGTCGTCCAATGCCCTAGGAGGTCAAAAGAGGCTGTAGGATCCCCTGGGACTGGAGTTACAGACAGTTGTTAGCTGCCATGTGGGTGCTGGGATTCAAACCTGGGTCTTCTGCAAGAACAGTCAGTGTTCTTAACTGCTGCACTCTCAAGCTCCAAAATTCATCACTTCTTAATAATTCAGCCATATTCTATTACTGTTTGTTCTCCATGCCTCATTTTTATCTTTTTGTGGAATGCCAGCCTGGTGAATGTTGGGCTATAAGATCTTACTTACATTCTATGTCTTTTAACTTTAATATTTTCTGTGAAGTTATCTCTGTACATTAAGGGTTTTTTAAATTTTTTTTTTTTTTTTTTTGGTATTTTTGAGACAGGGTCTCCCTGTATCCCCAGCTGTCCTGGAACTCACTATGTAGACCAGGCTGGCCTTGAACTCACAGAGATCTGCCTGCCTCTGCCTCCCAAGTGCTAGGACTACAGGTGTGAACCACCACACCTGGCAAGTTTTAGCTTATTTGTACTAGACAGAATTTAATATGTGTGTCAAAATTCTGTTTCTCCATAAAATCAATCTATAACATTTTACCTCAAGACTATAATTTCTTTTTTATTATTATGGGATCTTTTGTTATGCATGTTTATTGGACCACTTTAGCTAGATTAATTTGAATGCCTTGGTTTCATTTCTAGCACTTAATCATCCAAATTGTGATTTTGTTTTGCTTTAGACTGTTTACCTTGAATTTTTCTCAAAATGTAGCTAATAGAGCTCACTGCAAAAATTTTTTTTTAAAACATTGCCCTAAACTTAGCTCCTTTTGTGGTTTTTGTGCTTCTAAATTATAATCACTTTGGAAGCTTCCATATTACTGTGCATTCCTCCTGACGGTATATCAAGATATGCTCTTTTTCTTACACTATAAGATTGTTAAATCACTTTTAAGGCTTTTATGTTTGGTAGAATTTTTTAACTTTAAGATTTTAATTTTTTAACTATAAGAACTCAAAGAAAAGTGAGTATGGGAATTAATATTTTGTTTCTAGGACCACTTAATTTATACACAATTGCATAATATTGTGGAATTAACATTTCTTTTTCTTTTTCTTTTTGGTCTTTTTGAGACAGGGTCTCCCTGTAGCTCCAGCTGGCCTAGAACTCACTGTGTAGACCAGGCTGGCCTCAAACTCAGAGATCTACCTGTCTCTACCTCCTGAGTCCATGCCTGGCATAACTGACACATTTTTTAAAAAAATATTTTATTTATGACTTTTGTATTTTTAGGCATATGCGTGTATTGCCTGCATGTAGGTAAGTGCACTCCTGGAACTGGACAGTTGTTAGCTGCCATGTGGGTGCTGGGATTTGAACCTGGATCTTCTGAAAGAACATTCAGTGTTCTTAAATGCTGAGCCATCTCTCCAGCCCCAACTAATACATTTTAAATGAACATTTGTACTTAGATTTTTTTTTCCCTCTAGGTGGCAGACTTAACTAATAATAATTTGACTTTAATATTCTTGAATAGCATTAAATGTAGAGAGTAGAAATGACCTTGTGTGTATTTTAACTTGCTCTAGAGAAATCTAAAACTTTTCTCTTTGAGAAATCTAAAACTATTAGGCATAAAGTAATAATAGATATGTATGTTCCTGTATAATAAATTAATTTTTTATTGCAGATGTATCCTATCATTAGATTTTTGTTTTGGGTATCTTTGTCTTCATTTCTCTTGATTTTTAAAAGTTTTCCTTTTTGATTTATCTTTATTGTGTGTGAATGAGTGTTTTGCTTGCATGTATGTAAGTGCACCACGTATGTGCTATGCCCACAGAGACCAGAAGAGGGCACTAGATCCTCTAGAACTGGAGTTACAGATGATTGTTAGCCATCATATGGGTGCTGAGAACTGAACCCAGGTCTTCCACAAGCATCCCAGTGCTCTTAACCATGGAACCGCATTTCCAGCCCCACATTTCTGTTGATTTAATTTTTTTTCTTTTCTACATCCTTAATAAATAAGTAACATAGACATAGAAGTTGGCATGACCACCAGCATTTTTTCCCCTTGTTTTAAAAATTCAGCCCCTCTTCCTTTCCTTTCCCTCTCTGTCTCCTTTAGGGCTTTAGAGATTGATCTCAGAGCCTCACACATGCTAGGCAAGCACTCTACTACTGAGTTGCACCTATAGTCCTGGACCCAGTATTTTAATACTTTTACTCTCTAGCTTTTGTTTAAAGTTGAATTGTATGGGATTTTTTTAATGTGGCATTGGGAGAGTACACCCATATAACTAATAATGCAGTGAGGTGATAATCTAGAGAAAAAGCACCTGATACTTACTGCTATCTCCAGAGTCCTCGTATTTGAGGGGAAATGATTTCTCTATAAATATTAAAGGACTTGGAGGATCCTTCATATACACATTCCCAAAATGTATTCATTGAATAGCCATATTTTGTAAAATACAAATTGCTGTAAAATTTTTATAATTCAATGAGATGTGGTGGTACATGCTATTAATCCCAGCTCTCAGGAGGCAGAGACAGGAAGGCAGACCTGTGAGATCAAGGCCAGCATGGTCTACATAGCAAGTTTCAGGTCAGCTAAACAATTCTTCAGTATTTGAATGATCATGTTTTGTAAAATATGAATGTTTTTGTTTTGTTTTGTTTTGGTTTTTTAGTCTTTGAGACCGAGTCTCCCTGTGCCTCAGCTGGCCTGGAACTTACTATGCAAACCAGACTGGACTTGAACTTACAGAGATATGCCTGCCTTTGCCTAGGAGTGCTGGGATTAAAGGTGTGGGACACCATGTTCAGCTCTAAAATACAAGTGTTTTTTAAAAACATACTTTGGTAGGTAATGGTACTTGCAGCTGAAGAGTAGATATTTTAGTTACTAGACTTCCAGTGAATTACATTAGTCTTTCCAGATAATGCTGTCTAATTTATTTTTCTTTCTTTTTTTAAGATTAACTTCAATTTTACCTATAAATATTCGAGTAATGCTAGGTTACAGTCAGATTTCTCATAAAAGATTTAGCTTAAAAGCCACTTATAAGTTCTAGTGATAATGGCCTCAGAGACAGTTATTGATAGATTTAATGCTGTGTGTTGTCCTTCTATATTTAGGTCATAGTGATGGGAGCTACAAATCGTCCTCAGGATCTTGACTCAGCTATAATGAGAAGAATGCCTACACGATTTCATATCAACCAGCCTGTATGTGGTCTTCTTTGTATTTTGAAGAGCTAAATATTTGCCTTTTAAACAAGTTTTTATCTGTTACTTATTTATTTTTTTAATGTATATGAGTGTATTGTTTGCATGTATGTGAGTGCAGCTGTGTTGTACAGTGCCATTGTGAGGTCAGAAGAGGGCATCAGATTCTCTTAGAATTGGAGTTAAGGACGATTCTTAGCCACTATGTGGGTACTGGGAATTAAACCCGGGTCCAGGTCCTCTGTAAGAGCAGTCGGTGTTCTTAACTGCTGAACCCCTTTATCTGTTATTTTTAGGAAAGAACTAGTATCTTTCATGGGATTTATTTATGACAGGCAGGGAAAGGGAAAAGAAACCTTATAATTCTTTGTCCTTTCTGTTCCTTTTTATTTTAAATCCTAAGATCAGTGTGTTTAATTGCCACAAAATTGCCTATACACTTTAAGTGATTCACTTTAGGAAGGTACAGAAGAAAATTTGAAGTTTGGGATTAGTACAGAATTTATTTGCTTATTAGCAAATTAATCTGGCCTTCTGACTGGTACTGATTCCAGAACCTAATGTGCTGTACTTTAGCTTCAGAAGGTAAATGTGTAGCTGGTATTCAACTTTTCCTGCCTTTGTGGGGTGGTTATTTTGGTTTATTTATTTGTATTTTATGTAGTGTTTTGCATGCAGAGGCCAGATCCTCTGGAACTGGAGTTAGCTGCCCTGTGTGCTGGGAACCAAGTCTGGGTCCTCTGCAAGAACAGCCGGTATTCTTAACTGTTGAGCCATTTCTCTAGCCCCCAGTCTTTAATTTGATTTTTTTGATTTATCTATTTTTATTTTATGTGTATGAGTATTTTGCCTTCATGTATGTAAATGCACTCATGTCATACAGTGCCTGCAGAGACCAGAAGAGGGCAACAGATCCCCTGGAAATGGAGTTACAGATGGTTGTTAGCCACCTGTGGGTGCTAGGAACCAAACCTGGGTCCTCTACAAGAGCAATTGGTGCTCTTATCTGCCTAGCCATCTCTCTAGTTATACTCCCCATCCTACCCACTCCAATTTGTTGTTTGATACAGGGCCTCACTTTATAGCCTTGGCTGGCCTAGAATTTACCATTTAGCCCAGGTTAGCCTCAAACTCATCGCGGTCCTCTTGCCTTCTAATGTGTTGGGGTTGCAGGGATGAGTGCACTTTTCTACTTTTCTTCATTACTGCTGACTTTCTAGCATTCTTTTTTTGTAAGTACTATCAAAAGCGAGGCATGGTGGCACATGGCTTTAATCCTAGCATTTGAGAGAAGGCAGAAGCAGGCAGAGGTTAGCTTGGTCTACATAGTGAGTTCTGGGTCAGCTGGGGCTACATAGTGAGAAAGATCCTGTCTCCAAAATGACAACAAAAAAGTACCTTCAAGTAGGTGATAACTTTTGAAAAAATTGTTTATTTTTATGTGTATAAATGTTTTGCCTGCATGTATGTACGTATGTGTACCATATGCGTGCCTGGTGCCTTCAGGGACTAGAAGAGGATGTTAAATCCCTTAGGACTGGAGTTAAAGATAGTTGTTAGATACCGTGGGGGTGCTGGAAACCAAACCTAGGTTCTCTGTAAGAACAGTAAGTGCCCTTTAATACTGAGCCATCTCTCTAGCCGCAATTATAACTTAATTAATATCCTGTAGGTTTATTTATTTATATTTTCTGTGTATGAGTGTTTTGCCTGCATGCATGTAAGCTCAGCCATGTCCTGCAAAGCCCAGAGGCCAGAAGAGAGCATCACATTTCCTGGAACTGGTAACAGATGGCTGTTAGCTACCTTTTGGGTGCTGGAATCTGAGCCTGGGTTCTTTGCAAGAGCAGCTAGTGCTCTTTAATCACTGAGCAGCCATCTCTCCAACCTCAATATCTTACAGTTTTTGCAGAAAATTGTAAAATTATAAATTTTGTCAGTCTTCATATTAAAGAAAAAACTAGGTTCTGGTAGTAGGTATGCTCCATATCATCAGCATGTTACATTTATAGGCACTTAGAGGAACTTCTGAATGGGGTTCTCTTCAGATTTTGAAATAATATTTCATTCCATTTATAATCCTAAAATCATTTGTACCACTTGTATTCTGTAACTTATCAGATCTAGTTGTTGAAGTGAACATAGTCCCCCCCAAAAATAATTGACTTAGCCTCTAAAATTACTCTGATAAACCTCTAGTTCCTCTGAGGATATGTACATTGTACATTGTCACTATATTTGAAAATTTGAAAGTTGCCTGATAAATCAGTGAGGTTTTTTAACAAATTTAACAGACTTTAAAATTATATTTACCATAGCTCATCTTACTGAGCCATTAAAGTATGTTAGACACACTTGCTACACGTTAGTAAATGGGATATGATTCTTGTCCTCAAAAACTCTGTTGCAAAGAGAAGCAGACACATGAGTAAATAGTGTAAAATGTGCTTTACAAAAGTATGTATATGGGGGCTGGAGAGATGGCTCAGCAGTTAAGAGCACTGGTTGTTCTTGCAGAAGATCCAAGTTCGAATCCCAGCACCCACATGGCAGCTAACAACTGTCTGTAACTCCAGTCCCAGGGGATCCAGCAGCCTCTTCTGTCCTCGTGGGCACTGCATGACACGGGTACGCTTACCTGCATGCAGGCAATACATGCATACACATAAAAATAATAAATAAAATATATTTAAAAAAATATAAAAAGCAATTCAATTGTAATCTTAAAGAGAATTGAGTTTTTTTTAATGTCATCATAGTGTAGTATAGAGCATAGAATACAACATGCAGATTAGCACGTTTTAAAATTATAAAAAGATGGAAGCTAAGCCAGGTGTGGTGGTGCACACCTTTAATCCCAGCACTCTGGAGGCAGAGGCAAGTGGATCTCTGAGTTCGAGGCCAGCATGGTCTTCATAGCAAACCTAGGCCAGCTGTGACTACAGGGAGAGAGACCCTGTCTCAGAAAAAAATCAATCAATCAATCAATAAATAAAATTGTAATTTTAATTCAGTATGTTAGCAAGTTTAATTAGAGCAGCTTTCATCAAATTTGTTATAAATTTGTATACTGTTAACATCCAAACTGGAATTTTGTCATTGTTCATTCTATTTTAGTGAATACATACTTTAGAGGATAATTCTTATGTAACTACAGTGTCAAAGTATATTACTAACCTTACTTTAAAACTCCTTTCTAAGCAGAATACTTTATCAACTAAAAAGTAGTTAGTGTGATCATATAACATACCAAATTAACCTTTTCTTCTCAACATACTATGTTACAGCAACAGAGTTTGGTTTTGTTTACCATGTAAATTTGTAATTAGTTCTGTTTTGTTAATAAGAATGATCTTAGCCATGATAAATTTAAAAACCATCTATATTCATGTAAAGTATGCCTTCTTTTTGAGATAGGGTCTCATGTAGCCCAGACTGGCCTTGAACTCAAGAGTGTAACTGAAGATGACCTTGAAATCCTGATCCTCTTGCCTCCACATGGTGCCAGGTTTATAGACATGCTCTAGCATACCCAACCTTATGTAATTCTAAGAAGGAATTAAGTGTAGTTTTTGTTCTCTGAAATAAAAATATGGTGTATCACTGAAGGGAAATCATTAATACTTAAGTAAAAATTCACCAGTAAATATTAGAAACATAGAAGTTATATATTGAAGTGGCAGAACCAAGAGAGTATTGTCATGTCTTTAACTTAATGGTAAAAATGGCACATCTGTGATAAAAGCATGATATGGTACTTTGTATGCTAAGTTAAAGAAAAGTTACAATAAAATTTGACCAAAAAATCTTGTAGCAGTGGTAAACTTTCATAAGTTTAATGAAGAAAAGAAAAAAATGGAGACTGTAGAAGTGCTTAGGAAAAGCTGACATTCCTGTAATCCCAGCATTCATAGATAGAGCCAGAAAAACTGCCATAGACTTGAGGCCAGCCTGCTGTATGTAGTGACTTCTAGTCTAGCCCAGCAGACCCTGTCTCAAAACCTGAAACTGTATAGAAGTCTTAACATATTCATTTACTCAGTAAATACCAAGACTATACTTTTCCCAGATATTATGTTAACCACTGTGGATACAGAATAAGAAATATAATTCATTAAGATAACCACAGATGGTCACTGCAGTCTAAGATTGAGAACTTGCTTTAACCTCTACCAGCTTATCATTTCGTATCAGTTGTCAGATAATTTATGAAGGAAAATAATAGGAAAACATATCTACCCCCCCCTTTCTTTTAATACTAACTGAAAATTATCCTGGTTTTAGGCTCTGAAACAAAGAGAAGCAATCTTGAAACTCATCTTGAAAAATGAAAATGTAAGTAGAGAATTTAAATTTTTCCTCATCCTATACGATGCTTTTGTTCACAAAGTAATTTTAGAGAGAAATGAAGAAGGAACCTGAGAACAAGGTAGCTGTGAACTTAACCTAAATATTGTAAAACTCATGACTGTTAGCATATTTCAGTAAGTATGATGTATTTGAAGTAGTTAAATTTTTAAAGAGCAGGGTATGGGTAAAATCAGTAAAAACCCTGTGGGGAAATCAGCCTGTTAGAGAATGCCTTGGACCACAGTGGGGTGACTGTGCTGAGCTGAGTCACTAAAACAGCCAAAACATAGCCTGCATGTACTCAGGTTGCGAACTGACTTTGTTTCTGATCTGTGAACAACTCGAGTGTTTCTGATCACTGAGGAAGAAAGAAATCCCTACTTGGCAATCCTAAACAGTATGGAAGAGAAAAAACAAGTGTGAAAATTCCATTCTAAGAAACCTGGGTGGATTCTGACCCAATACCATGTAGAAAGGAAAGGGAGTAGGCCCTTAATTTGGCCCATCTATCTTACAGATCATTGAGATTCTAATGATATGACTTCTCTGGCACCTAGTTCAGATGTGTTCTGTAAGATGGATGAGGCTTTTCATTTACTAATAGAGGACATGAAGTCAGGGGTGGAGGGAAGTGGTAAGGTGAGGGTGGAGATGGGGGAAGGGATCTAAATATGATCAAAATGCATTGTATGAAATTCTTAAATCAAAATTTTTTAAAAATGTAAAATATTAGTGAAATGGAGCTCTTGTGCATTCTTCATATGAACTCAAACCAATTAAATCTTTAGAGGGGCTGGAGAGATGGCTCACCAGTTAAGAGCTTTTAAGACTGCTCTTGCAGAGGACCCGGGATTCCCAGCACCCACATGGGGGCTATGAACCGTCCTTAAGTCCAGTTCCAGGGGAATCTGAAGCCCTCTTCTGACCTCCATGGCTTTGCACGACACGGGTGCACTCACATACGTGCAGGCAATAGAGTCATACACATAAAATAAAAATAATAAATAAAATATTTTAAAAAAAAACCTCTAGAAAACAAAAAAACTTTTGGGGGAAAAAAAGAGCAGTGTGTCTACTAAAATACTGTGATATTTTTCCAGACCATTTTATGATTATAGAAGAATATTTAAGTAAAGAAAGTCTTTGTTTCTTGCTTTTACTTAATTATAGTCATTTTTGTAGTTGGAATTTAGATTTTTTGGGGGGGGGGGTCTTTTTGAGACAAGGTCTCCCTGTAGCCTCAGCTGTCCTAGAACTCACTATGTAGACCAGGTGCTGGGATTAAAGGTGCGCACCACCACGCCTGGCCCGGAATTTAAATTTTTAAAAGAAATTATAACACTAGGTATGGTGGTACACACTTGCACTCCTGGTATTCAGGAGGATTGTGAGTTCAAGACCAGCCTGAATTATATACTAGAACCTCACCTCAAAAAAAAAAGAAAGCCAGGCATGGTGGCACATGCCTTTAATCCCAGCACTCGGGAGGCAGACGCAGGTGGATCTCTGCAAGTTCAAGGCCAGCCTGGTCTACAAAATGAGTTCCAGGCCAGCTGGGGCTACAGGGAGACTCTGTCTCAAACAGACCCCCCCCAAAAAAAAAAAAATTAAAATTTTAGTCTGGGTGTGGTGGTACACGCCTTTAATCCCAGCACTTGGGAGGCAGAGGCAAGTGGATCTTTGTGAGTTCGAAGCCAGCCTGGTCTGCATAGTGAGTTCCAGGACAGCTGGACCCTGTCTCAAAAAAATACATAATCCCAGTACTTGAAGAGCTAGAGGAAGGAATATCAGAAGTTCAAGGCCAGCTCTGCTACATACATAAAATACAAGATTAGCCTAGGCTACATGAGCCCCTGTCTAAAAGGGGGGTGGAGTGTTTGTACCACAGTAGTATAGATGCATTAAGATAGAAATGGTATACAGGGAAAAGTCTCCTTCTATATTTCTTCTGTATCCTTTCAGATTTGGCATTATGCCTATAGTAGCTGATTAGAACATACTGTTATTCTCTCTCCTTATTAATTAGCCATGTATACTATTCTTGGCATTGCTGTTTTCACTTGTGAGAATTTTCTTTCATGTTAGTATAGCAAATTTTTCCTTATCCTGTTCTTGTCCCTCTCCATCTCTCAGATTCATAAGGTTTTATCATATGGGTATATTGCAATCAGTGCTATAGTGAAGGACATTCAGGTTGATTCTGGTCTTTCACTATTATAAAAACAACAAAACTCAGGCTGGGTTTGGTGGCCCATGCCTTTAATCCCAGCACTTGGGAGGTAGAGGTAGGTGGATCTCTCTTTAGTTTGAGGCTAGCCTGGTCTGCATAGTGAGTTCCAGGCCAGCTAGGGCTACAGGGAGACCCTGCCTCAAAAATACAAAAAAAAAAAAGACGCCAAAAACTTCTATTTCGGTAACTTGTTATATGTGTCATTTCACAGTTGTACAAGAATACTACTCATAGGTTGAATTTTCCAGAAGAGGTGTTAGGAGACCCAAAGAGAGGGTATTTATGTTTTGGCAGCTATTGCCAAACTGCACCCTAGTTTACTCTTATATTAGCAATATTGGAGTACTCCTTTATAGCCTTGCCAACACAATCTAATGGAATTTTGTGCCAACAGGAATGTTTATCTGGGGCCAGTGAGATGGCTCAACAGGTAAAGGCATTGGCTGCTAAGCCTCACAACCTGAGTTCAGTCTCCAGAACTCACATGGTAGAAGGAGAGAACTGACTCCTACAAGTTGTCCTCTCACCTCTACAAATACACCACAGCATGCGTGTGCCCCTCCCCCGTGCAATAAATTAATATAAACAATGTTTAATAAAATGCTTATTAAAGTTTTAATTTACATTCCTTAGAGATACAATGTATATTGCTATATATTTTTAAGAACTTGATTTTTTTCTGTGAAATAAGTATTCTTTGCCCATTTTTTTACTGCAGTGCTCTTTTTCATAAAGGTGGGTAAGGTCTCTGTGCTAGATTTGTCTTTTGTCTATATGATTTGAAAGCATTTTTTTCCTAGTTTCTAGATTTTATTGGAGTTTTTATCCCTTCTAGTAATAACTTTGGGGTTTTAAATATAAATTTAAAAGATCTTGTGTACCCTCAAGTTTATAAAATAATTTTCCATATTTTCTAAACTCGTGTTACTTTTTTTTCTAAAACTGTATCTGAATGTATTGTATAGTGCACTTCTCTTATCTTCACACTGTTGGAACTCACTATTCAAACTAAGAAACCACATGATTCCCATCGTCAGGGATGCATGTATGTCCTAGTTGCTCTCTATTGCTGTGATAAACACCATAGCCAAAACCAACTTGGCGAGGAATGGCTTTATTTCACCTTCAGCTTACAGTTCATCACAGAGGGGAACCAAGGCAGGAGCTCAGGGCAGAAACTGAAGCACAGACCATGGAGGAACATGACTTACTGCCTTGTTCCCTTGCCCGTGCTCAGCCTGCTTTCTTTTCTTTTCTTTTCTTTTCTTTTCTTTTCTTTTCTTTTCTTTTCTTTTCTTTTCTTTTCTTTTCTTTTCTTTTCTTTTCTTTTCTTTTCTTTTCTTTTCTTTTCTTTTCTTTTCTTTTCTTTTCTTTTCTTTTCTTTTCTTTTCTTTTCTTTTCTTTTCTTTTCTTTTCTTTTCTTTTCTTTTCTTTTCTTTTCTTTTCTTTTCTTTTCTTTTCTTTTCTTTTCTTTTCTTTTCTTTTCTTTTCTTTTCTTTTCTTTTTTCTTTTTTTAAAAAAAAATTATTATTTTTATTTTATGTGGATGAATGTATTGCCAAGATGTATATAAGTGCACCCATGTCATGCAGTGCCCATGGAGGTCAGAAGAGGGCTTTGGGTCCCCTGGAACTGGAGATGTTAGCCACTGGGTGGGTGCTAGGAATCGAACCCAGGTCCTCTGCAAGAGCAGTTAGTGCTCTTAACTGCTGAGCCATCTCTCCATCCCCAAGCCTGCTTTCTTATACAACATAGGACCACCTGTCCAGGGTGGCACTGCCCACAGTGGGCTGAGCCCTCCCATATCACTCAGCAATCAATAAAGTGCCCCACAGACAGGGTCACAGGCCAATTCAGTGGAAGCAATTCCTCAGTTGAGGTTTTTCTACCCAGGTCTGTCAAGTTGACAGCTGAAGCTATTTAACATACTGCTTTACTTCCTTCCTTGAACCAGTATCAATCTTATATTTTGGCTTCTTTTTTTTGTTTTTTGGGTTTTTTATTTTGGTCTTTTTGAGACAGGTTCTCCCTGTCACCCCAGCTGTCCTGGAACTCACTATGTAGACCAGGTGGGCCTTGAACTCACAGAGATCCACATGCCTCTGCCTCCCTAGTGCTGGGATTAGAGTGCTGGGATTAAAGGCGTGCACCACCACGTCCGGCTATCTTGAAGACAAAAATTTTCTTTTCTTGATAAAAATCTAACTTCATTACTATGTCCCCAAATTTGTAATTGATTGCCATTACTTTTTTTTTTAGTTTATGTATAGATTTCTAATTATCTCCCATGTTTTTCTTTTTTAAAATTTCTGTTTCTTCTTGAGAATTTCATGCACAATATGCATATGCAATATGACCATGTGCCTCCTATTTTCTCTCCTTCTAGCTTCCCCCCCAACCCAAACATACCCTCTCCCAATTTAATGTCTTTTATTTATTTTTTTAACTACGATTTTTATTGACTAGGGATCTGTTTAAAGTTCCAGGGCCTTAAACTTGTTAGACAAGTGCTCCAGTAGCCACTGAGCTCTATCCCCAGCCTATTTGATAGTTTCTGAATCTCTTTTAATCTGTTAATCTATAGTTAATGGTTTCTTCCTTCACCTGCCCACCCCTCCTTTTTTTTCTTTTCTCCTTTTTAGATGCCCCATTGTCCCCATACCTGTTATTGAGTAGGCCATCTTTTTCTGAGTAGAACACTTAATCAAATCCTAATATGCATTAGCTGGACTTTGACACAAAGGTCACTGCTCTT